TGTGCGCGTCCCTGACTCCCAGTGGATTTTCATGAAAGGAGTCTGAAAGCATATACCTTTATCTTCAAGTGTCTTTTTTATAGCAATGTATTCTTTACGTCTTTTGACGATCTCGAGGGCATAATCGTGATCAAGGCGAACCACCGCGGTGCCCTCTTGAATCTTTCCTTGCTTCCACATCTCTCTCAGAATTGTTTCCTTTGTGGAGAACTCTAAAAAGTTAACCATGATGGCCCTTGGAGGAGCCCCTGGTGGTGGTTTACTTGCCGAGGCTCGGTGTGCACGCTGGATTTTAAGCTCAAACGTCTCCGGTAGTTGCAACTTTTTCCGCAGCAGGCTCTCAATAAACTTTGAAGCAGAGTCCTCCTCTTCTCCCTCTGGTACTCCATAGACTCGAATGTTATTTCTTCTGGATCGTGATTCTAAGTCTAGCACTTTAAGCTGCAGTTTCTCCTGGTGCTGAAGGCATTTACACAGTGCCTCTGTCGCCTCCTCGGCCCAGCTCTCCACCTAAGTCACTCGAGTTTCTGCTTCTTCCATTCGCCGAGACAGGCCTTGCACCTCCATTGAGATATTATCTAGCTTACCACTAAGTTCTTGTCCGAGCTGAATGAAATCTTGTTTCAATCTTGAATTGTCGCCCTTCAGATCCGTTCTCATATCTTCTATTGCCTTCAGCATGCCCACGGTTACCGCGTTTAGCTCTGTGCTCTCTGCTCCTCCTGGACTTAGGGCGAGGCCGCTAGCATGGCTGGGAGCCGCTGCTGCTTTGTTCTCCGAGGTGGTCGTTTCCTGGGTTTTAGACATTTTCGCCTGTCTCCTAATACCTGCTGTAGTTCATCTCTCTGTCATCTACAGTGTTGGGGATGAAAAATTGAGGTATCAAGTTAAATGGAAGGGATTTTCCATGATTAGGTTGGAAAGTGGGAACTGCGCTACCTGCTACTCCATGCGCTCACCCGGAAGTCATCGGCCCTTCTGAAGATTTTAAATGATTTTAGAGTAAGTTATGATGCCCGAAGGGTAACGGTGTTGGTTCTACTGGATCTAAGTGCTGCCTTTGATACAGTAGACCATTCTATTCTTTTAACCCATTTAAAACAGATCGGCCTCTCTGGTGCTGTCCACCGATGGTTCACATCCTACCTCACAGACGAGACGTTTATGGTAAGTTTGGATACCTGCTCTTCTAGGGTTCATGGAATTAAATGTGGTGTGCCCCAGGGTTAAATTTTAGGCCCAGTACTTTTTAAAATTTATATGCTCCCCCTTGGTGGGGTCATCAGGAGACATGGGGTGAATTTCCACAGCTACGCTGATGACACACAGTTGTTCATCTCTGTGTCTCCTGATGACACACGGCCAATGGACACACTTTTTAAAGAGCAAGTCACCCCCAAATCAACTTTTTTTTGCTGATAAACTAAATAAACAAGTGTCTAATTGTGCTGCAGACACGTGGTCAATAATTTGGCACTTCAGTGCATCTTAGTTAAAATTTAAATTTTCTGCCTTAAACTGTCAGTGTTGCGCCGTCGTCAGGTAAAAACTCTGAACTGTATTTGAATTTAAATCTGCCACCGCTATTGGCTAAGAGGTATGCTATGATGTAAACTGGTACATTATGATGTCACAATGTCGTTGTTAGCCTGTGTGTGTGTATTTGTTAGTGGCTCCGCCCTCTCGGTCTGCCAGGCAACAGCATTTGTTGCATTTTTCAAACACGAAGTGGGAGTGGAGTAAGTTTCTTGTAGGGGGTGACTTGCTCTTTAACTGCATCAAATCCTGGATGGCAGAAAACTTTCTCCAGCTCAACCGGGACAAAACAGAAGTTTTAGTCATCGGTCCTGAGGCCCAGAGAGAGAACCTTTTACCAGAACTACAATCTTTGCCTTTTAATTCTTCTGAACAAGTGAAGAACCTGGGTGTGATTTTAGACTCTGAGCTGACTTTTATCCCACACATAAAAAACATGACTAAAATAGGTTTTTATCATTTAAAGAATATTGCCAGAGTCTGACCCATTCTCTCTTGGGTCAATACTGAGACTCTGATGCACGCTTTTATCTATGGGGAGAAAAAAAAGTTTCAAAAGATTTGTGCGTATGTATCTAAATTTGTGTGTGGAACACTTGATTTGTAACTTGTGCTTACATTTTCTTGTGTAACTTCAGTTCTTACACATACAAATCATTGAGTACACACACACAAATCATCTGGTACACACGGACAAAACTACATTACACACAGATTAGTTTACAAGTACAAAAATCCTTTTGAGACTCTTTTCACACCTGACTGATTTGTGCGTACAAGGTGCGTTCGAATGCTCGGTGGAAGCTGGGAAATCCAAATTCCCTTTGGATTTCGTCTAAACTTGTGTTGACGGGACAAATATGTTTTTCTGTGGAAAAATATAGTATCTCAGGATCCTGTAGTTATGAAAGATAGACCAACATTTAATTTTTCATCATCTAAAATTGTTTATTTAGACATATGTGTTTGTGAGCCATGAAAACATAGTGAAAGGGTTATAACAAATGACTAATAACGGCAGAGTGGTACAAAACTCTGCAGCACGTGTCCTGATGAAGACCAGGAGGCGGGAGCACATTACAGCAGTTTTAGAATCATTGCATTGGCTCCCTGTATGTTTCAGGATCCATTTTGAGGTTCTCTTAATTGTTTTTAAGTGTCTTAACGGTCTTGGGCCTTCTTATCTTTCGGAACTGCTTTTACCTAACGAACCTTCGTGACCTCTGCGCTCCTCTGGCAGCAGTCTCCTTGTGATTCCAAAAGTCAGGACACATACCCATGGCGCGACATCCTTCCAGTTATATGGCCCTCGTCTCTGGAACAGGCTGCCAGAGGACCTCAATCGTAGAGAATGTTCATGTTTTTAAGAGCGGGCTTAAGACCCACCTTGTTACCATAGCTTTTAATTGCTATCGGTTTTTAGCTTGTTTTATTTTTATTTTATTATTTATATTTTAGTTTTATTAGACATTTATATCTTAGTGTTTTACTATCTTTTATTCACTTTTTTAAGTTATCTTACTATCCATATTAGCTCTTTTTTTTAATGTTCCTTATTTGTTCGTGCCAGTGTTTTCCTCTGTGGAGCCGGGTTTCGGTAGACCGCCTCAAACTGGCGCACTTACTTCCAGACGTACCGGTGGAGCTTGGACAGCTGCCCCGACGTGGGCGTACAGCACGTGTCCCCTCCTAGAGCTTAGCCCCCCGGCCCCCTCCCTCACTCCTCTGGTTATCAAGGCAAGCAGTAGCGGCACACCAGGGCTTTGGATAGGTTGTAGGCGACTGATCAGCCTCTATAGGGACTAACGAAACATCACTGCAGCAACTCAAAACAACTGGTTGAAGAACTCAAAAACAATGACAGTAGGAAAAAACTAAATTTTTATTTCACATGACGTCATTTCACTATTCACACCCCCCCCATAGATGTTACTTTACGCATAGTCCGTCAACGCCTCAGAGCTACCAGATCACTTACGAAACAGACAAGCCTCACAACCAACGACATATCCACCCTGTTAGAATTTGTAGCAAACTCCACATACTTCCAATATAAAAATACAACATAGAGACAAAAGGAAGGCTTCGCCATGGGAGACCCGCTTTTAGCCACAATGAGCAGGTTTTTCATGGAGGATCTGGAGGTAAAACGCTATCAGCACAGCACCTGCACACATCAGACCCACGTTCTGGAGGAGATATGTGGACGACATCTTAGAAACAATAAAAACTGGACCCACACAACAACTCACAGACCACCTGAACATCATCGACACCACAGGAAATATAAAATTCATGCATGAAGAGGAAACGAACAATATCATTTCTGGAGATGAACATTCACCATATGTTCATCGGTTCATCTATTTCTGACTTTGTTTTATTTTGTTTGGATCTATGTGAAGCACTTGTCTGTGATAAGTGCTATATAAATAACATTTACTTACTAACTTACACATAGAAGACGGCAGCATAAAAATCACAAGATACAGAAAACACACACACAGCCCAATATCTGTTCACATCCGAACACCCCACAGAGCACAAACTATCAGTAGTCAGAACGTTCTGTCCCCGGTTCGTTACAGACGAAAGTGATCGAAAACAGGAAGAAAAGGACATCAAACAAGCACTAACCCTATGTCAGTATCCAAAATGGGCCATAGCAAAAGGAAAACAACAAGTCAAAGTAAACAAAAACAAAGATCAGACCACACACACACACATCGAGACCATCACAATTCCATATATCCGGGGAGTCAAAAAATGGACACAAAGGGCCATGAAAGCAAATCTACACAACCGTCAGACCTCACAAGAAACTCAGACAGCTACCAGTACACCCCAAAGACAAAACAGAACCGGACAGGAAATGCTACGTAAGCTACGGAATACCCTGCAGGTCTTGCAATGAACCCGGGAGAACATTCAACACAAGGAGAAAAGAGCACCAGAAAGAATGTGAGAAGGAAACAACAGAAAGACTCACAAGGACAACAAAGAAAGAAGCACAGCAGCAAAACCTCATGTCAGCCATCTCAGATCATTGTAAAGGACATCATGGCATCATGGACTGGCAGCATGGGAAAATCATAAACACAGAAAGCAACGGGTTTAAACGTTGGATCGGGGAGGCCATAGAAATAAGGAAGTGGGAAGAGTGGACTAGGAACCGAGACGAGGGGGCCTATCAGTTGTCTCGCACCTGGGACTCCCTCCCCCAAAAACCAGCCAGCGGGGGTGGGCGTGACCCTGCCCACCAGAAGAACAGCTGATAAAGACGCATCACACAAACATCTGATGAAGACCACAGTCGTCGGTGGAAACATGTCAATGTAAATAAGAACTTACATGTCTGAAACAAAAGAATCTCATGAGTTATCTGAGAAGAGGACATAACGAACATTGTAAAGTAATAATAATGTTTTACATCTCCCCAAACTAGGATTCGGAGTTATACTCACACATTCATGTCATTAATGCCAAGCTTGCTGTGGAAATGTTTCCCAACATCACATCCAAACCACACAGCCTTGGAGACACAGAAATAGAGAATCTTTAACAGGAAGTGTTGCACATTCATGGCTGCAGGGGTCACCAAGCCTTTCACACCTCTCCTTCTTTGATAGAATCTGCTGCTGCCTTCTTCAGCAGCTGGATGGGCTGGTTGTTGTACAGAGTGCTGTTACCGTCCACCATATTCCCCAGAAACTCGACGCTGTACAGCTTCCCGTAGGGGTTCTGCGGCCGAGGGTCGTTCACGAGGCACACCTGAAGATTGAAAACAGCACAGGCTCAGAGACCAGGACGGCTTGACTCAAAGAAATCAGGTCTAATGCTCGTGCTGCAGACCTTGTCCTGCATGTTGTACAGGGGTTTGACGTGTTCCCTGTAGAACTGTCGGGGGGTGAGAGGTCCCATGCGGTGGAAGTTCTTTTCCTTGTCCCTGAATTCCCAGCAAATGGTCTCAGGAGGGCTGCCTAAGCAGACACTGACCACACGAAATACCTGAACAGACAGTTTTACCATAAACTCTTATCAGATCCTAAAAACACAATTTATAATGACAAGTGCTTTAAAAGTGAACCACTTAAACACATTTAATCACCACAAGTGTAGAAATGTGAGCAGAACCAAAAGTTCATCCAGGATTGCAGCTTTTGTTGCCCCTCTGAATCCATCCCAGCGTGCATCACCCCGTTGGTGCCTGAACCCGTCATTTTATTTTCTACTCCTCATTGAAACTCATGCACACACTCCCAACACACACACATGCACACTCACAACCACACACACACACACACACACACACACACACACACACCATCGTGTGCATCACTGCAGTTAGAAGCTCTAAACGAGATCCTGTGGGATGGCTGGAGCGGTTTAGGAATCCAGCCTCTGATTTAGTCATCTCTGAAATTCCCACTTTAGTTTTTTTTGCTTCTCTCATCTTCTGTCAGGACCCAGCATGCGCTTCTCCTACCAGACACATGTAAGAAGGAATGGGAAGAGTGAAAAGCAGTGTAGACTGTCTCTGGTGGTAGGTATCAGATGAGCAAACAGACGATGGGGCACACAGCAGGTGTACACTCAGCCTAGAGCACACAATACGGTAAGCGTGGCTATATTCGTGGGAAAAGTGGCAACACATCACACTCATACGGTTTTTAATACCGATATATAAAAAAAGACATTTTAAACATCACGTTTCCCCCTCCCCATCAATTAAATGTACTTTCTGTAAAGTTCAAGAGAATTATTCTTGGCCAGACTTATGATCTCCAGGGTGTCCTGCTTTCCCAACACACTGTTCCCAGCCAGGCAATGATTTCACTAACAGATGTGAATGCATCACTTCTCAAATTTTGGAGAAACAACTCCCACCTTCAACACAGCAATGACTAACAGCAACATTTACAAATACACATGTTCACTGAGCCCACCAGGCTTTGAACCACCTCCATCCTGCAGCCAAGGTTCTCCATACTCCCAAATAATCGTTCTGGTAACGCTACCTTTGGTAACCTCTGCACCATCAGCACGATTTTCTTCAGAAGCTTATTCCAGGGTATCTGCAGGTTTAAGGGAGCCAAATTTAAGACTTTTTAAGACCTTTTTAAGGCCACTTTGACCAAATTTAAGCTATAATTTCCAGCCATTGCCTGGAACCGGTGCTAACCACGTCTCAAACGTGGGAATAGCCATCCAGTTACCATTAAACTTGCACTTCCCCATGGCGCGAGCTCCCACTAGCTTAACCAGCTAATGTGCTCATCTAAAAATAGTCCCCTTTCACAACCAACTGAACGTGTACGGTTCCGCTTACGCCAACGTCATACACAAAAAAGCTGAACACTAACTAAAAATTCCTGAAAATTTTATAGAAATAAAATAATCTTGTTTATTGGGTCTTTGGTCATTTAAGACCTTTGGAAACCGTATTTAAGGATTATTTGTCATTTTTAAGGATTTTTAAGACCTTAAATTTGGAAAAGCAAATTTAAGACTTTTTAAGGACCCGCGGATACCCTGTATTCAGAGGTGTCTAAAAAGTGCTGGTCGAACATGAGTCATGGGTCACGTTGACCATAATCACGCCAATCTGAAAATGCTGAAAGAACATCAAGATTCATGTACGTTGATTTAAAAAATGGGTTGAAATGACTTCTCCCTTTACTGACCAGAGCAAAAGGGCTTGGAGTTTAACATGTGACTGGCCCCAGTAGTGCCATTTAATTTTTTTCCTAGAGGTGACCCATCGCCCTCCAGACTGCCCAGGAGGGCGTGTTAGCAGGGCTAGGGCTGCCAGCTTCAACATCATGATTTTCAGCCGTCACAGTCAGCCCAACCCTGAAAACTGGAGCACTTTGCCATGCGGGAAGACGTCAGTGGCAGAGCTGCACAGAAGGGGCCTGCGGCATCAGGGCAAGGCCCGCATGGTGAGCCCCGAGACTCACCTCTGAACCGTGTCGCGGGTCACGGTGAGTGAAAAAAGTTGACCTGTTGAGGAGAATTTGCTCTTGTGGTGTGTAGCACAAACAGAAAACGGTGGGTTTACAACTCTCGTACACCAGATCGGGGCCTGCCCAGTTGGCGGGCATATATGATACACTCTTCAGTGAGTGGCTAATTGAGAATCACTTAAACAATCCAGCCTTAAAGGTCGAAGTCTATACAACTGGACCTGACTGTAGCAGGTTACAGGTGTGATCCAGGCGTCCGCTCTGACCGTGATGTTAAGCACAAGTCAGAACTATAGAATTCATTCATCATTTTACTCAGTTATATATTTTATCTGCAGTAGGCCATGCTTGGATTACTACCACCTATATCTGTTACTTAATCTCACAGAGAAGTGTAACTTCTCACAGTCTTGAGTACAAACCATCAGCTGTTACTCTGTGTTCTGTTTGCTCGCACCGAACTGGGCTAAAGGTCTTTTGTTCGCTCTGCTCCTTCTGCATGGAACAGGCTGCAGGAAAGCTGGAAGTTAACCAAGTTTATCTCCTTGACTACATTTAAAACCAGACTGGGAGCCCTTGAGACTGATTCCCTGTGTTGTAACTGCCTTCTGTAATTTTGTACATAACATGTCTGTGTAACTGAAGCATCTGTAACTGTAACTTCTGCTGCCTCTAGGCCAGGACTCCCTTGAAAATAAGTATATAAGCTCTGTGGGAGCTTCCTGGTTAAATAATGAATAAATAAAAATAAGTAATAATAACAAATATATTCCAGTCTGCAGGGTTAGGGTTTAAGTCAAAGGAATTTTAATTAGGTTCCTAACATTTAGGAAGAAGAAACAACCTTTTTATACAGGGGAGATGTGCTCAAACATCCGTTTTCCTGTTAGGAAGTGAGCTGCAGCCTTTTGTACTCTCTGAAGCTGAGAGATAAATCAACAAAAGGTTTCAAATCACCAGCCGTCTCTCATAGCAGCTTGTGTTAATGTAGACTAAAATTCGAGGTTGGAAAAGTCTAGGTATTGCAGTTTTGGAGCTGGACCAATGATCTAATGTGGTCTCAATGCAAAACAATGCTGAAATGTGTTTTCTTTTAAAGAGGACCTAGAATACAGTTAATCAGCAGTCTAAAACGGATCTTTGAGCCTCTATAATGCATATAAACTGTGTTTGGAGCTTAAAATGTGCCAGACCTGTTTCCTCCGCCCACTTCATGTGTGTGTGTGTGTGTGTGTGTGTGTGTGTGTGTGCATTAGGGGTTGTATCAACTAGTCAACTACCGCTCTGTAGTGACTTTTTATGCCCGTCATCGACTAGTCGCTGTCACGTGATAATGACCAACAAGATGACGTCCTCGGAAAAGACAGCAGGTGACGAATCCCTGCACGTTGGGAGGCATCGGTACTGACACCGGCCGTAAAACGGACATTTGACTGAATTGTGACCTTTACCCTCTTGCAGTTGAACCTTCCCCTCACCCCCACCCTAACATTAACCAGCTTGCGCATGCAAAGCTCTGATTGTTGACGCGCTCCAGACATCTGCGTCCTGAGCACGGCCACAGTAACATTATCAAATCAGGTGTCGCCACCTCAAAAACTAATTTAGCCGGCGATCGTTCATGTTGGCTCATTTCCTTTTATGTTTTCTGTCTTTTATTTGCGCCTGATGCTTTCCGCTGCTCTGGAGCAGAGTGCATCACCTGTTTTGTCCTCCGGTGATGCACCTCACTGGTGCGAGCAGCGAGCACTCCGCTGTTTTTGCGGTCAGTAGATCTTTTACAACTGCAGTTCAAAGGTAACTCATAAGGTGAATATATATGAACCCAGGTAGCAGTTTTTCTTTAGGATTGAGAGGAGATGCAGGAAGATAATAAACAGGCAGGACAGAAAAATAGTCAAATAAAAACAAGTTAGTTTTTGTACCTGGTGGTTGCAACAAACAGACACCATTGAAGGTAATCAGAAGTGAGGAACAGAAAATGAAATAATTATTTTAATGTTTAGAGCAGCAGGAACTCTGAGAGGCTGCAGGCGCATCAGTGAGTTTGCGGCGCTGCGCAGGGGGAGGGGGGAGAGGGCCGAAGCAGAAACTACCGTTGTTAAAAGAAATGTGTTTAACTTTGAAAATGTGGACGCAATTTTAATTGTGAAAAACTCCAGCGAACCAACCCGCTTCAGGTGTATGACGTCATCAACGACTAGTCAAAGTCGACTAGATTGTCATTACTTGACTGTCGACTTTAAAAAACATTAAGTCATGCAGCTCCTAGTGTGTGTGTGTGTGTGTGTTTCCAGAACTATGTAGCATACTGTAAGGGAGACAGACATACTATGTATATTCAGTATTGCACAAGTACTGAACACATACTGAGTGGTATTGCGCACCAGGATAATGCCAGTACCAGTTAAACTGAGGAGTTCCACCCTCTTACTGCAGAGGGGATGAATGACCTACGGTAGCGTTCTGTTTTACTTCTGGGACGTCTCAGTCTGCCTCTGAAGGAGCTGTCCATGGTCTCCACAGTGAAATGCAATGGGTGGGAGGATTTTTTAAGATTCACGAGCATCTTCCTTTCACACGTCTCAAGTGGGCAGCTCAGAACCGAGCTAGCTTTGTGAACTAGCTTGTTCAGTCTTCCTGTCTGGGTCAGATCTGCCTGCACCCCAACAGACCACAGCAGAGTGGATAACAGAGTGATAAAAGGATTTTAGCAGCTGGGAATTTACTCCAAAAGACTTCAGCCTCCTTTCCTTGAAGAGTGACTAGTGAGGTCTGCAACTGAACTGTCCTGGTTTATAGTCTGGATTTTAACAGTATATGCTGGAACCTGACTGGTGAGTGCTGGATGTTCTCTTTCAACAAGGCTGTTGCTAGCTGAAGCTAACGACTAGCTGGTTCTAACAGAGGCCCGGTTTACCGTGGCTCTGCGGTAGCGTTCCTGAGGTGGGTTGGAACATGTAGATGTAGCAGGAGTGGTTTCCTTGTGGCGTGAGTAGGAGAGCTGGCATTTTCTCTTGCCTTTTTCAACGTTCCTAATTT